GAGTTAAGTTCATTTTCCCCTGCTGGTTAACTTTTAAACCAGCACATCAAGACTCTTGGATTTTTTTAAAAACGGATGCTGCACCCAAAATGACAGAAAAGCGGAAGGAGCCATTACTTTCCAAATGCAGTTTCCCACAGGCTCCAGTGGGATTCCTCTGGTTACCAGCAATACACATCAGGAGGACTGGGGGCACCATCTACACCTCCAACTTCATGTCCAGGTCCTTGCTATCACAGGCAAACATGGCCCATAAGGCCATTAATCAATTTCTCAAGGTGTCTTCAGCAAGGAGGTTTGCCTTGCCAGTGCTCGGAAATGTCACTTGCTGTCTCGGGCCTTTTTCCATTTCAGAAAACTCAAAGGACTCCCTTAGGTTCCTCTTCTCTAAAGACTTGGGCTATTTTAGGTGTCAAAACTGATGAGGAGCATAAACCCCTCCTCGGGAAATTCCCATACCTCTAAGAAAGGTCAATTCAGGAGGATGTAGGCCTGTGTGTTGTTGTGAAGAGCACTGAGGTGGAGGTTCTCAGCATCCAGACAAGAGCAGGGACACAAGGGACAGAGCGCTGATGGACTCAGCTCTGGCTTGCAGGGAGAACAGTGTCTGCATTGCACCCCTGCCCCTCCCTGTGCTGGCTGCCACCTTTCTTCCCAGCAGGGACAGCCCAGTGGCACCTTCTGCAGCTCCCTCTCTCTGTCACAAAACCTGCCAGAACCCTGGAGCACTTCTGGCCTGCTTGAATGTGCCAGGCAGCAAATGGGGCTGGGACAAGGCCCGCTCAGCTGTCCCTCCTTGGGTGGCAGAAACCTCAAAAAGTGGGGCAGGAGGGACAAGCTGGGCCCCCTCTGAGGCTAGCAGTGAGCTCCACACAGCCCCTTCCTTCTCACAGGCAATTCTCCGACCACTTGGCTGGGACTGCTTTCTTGGGTCCCCCTCCACCAACACCATTTCAGGCCTCTGGACCTGCTATTATTCTACTCTGGGTCTTTTGCCACCAGGTACAACCAAGTGTCCTCCCAAAGTACAAACCAGGGCCACAGACAGGACCAGATGGTGGAAGACCTTTCCTTGGAGGAAAGGCTCTGAGCAACCCGATCTAGTTGAAGATGCCCCTGCTCGTTGCAGGGGGGTTGGACTAGATGCCACTTAAAGGTCCCTTCCAAGCCAAATTATTCTAGGATGCTACTTAGTTGTCATTTGAAAAGCACCGAGACTGGAGATTAGTAGCAGAGGAGGTCTCCTGATGCCTCTGAGTTTAGCTGATGACAAAGCCCATCCCTGGACAGCTGTTTCACCTGCAGCCACTTTACCTGCAGAAGCAGCCTGGTAGGCCATCGGGGCCTCACATGCCCGTTCAGGCAAGACTGTAGGTAGGAATGGAACACAGGTGGTGGATTTCTGGGAGTCTCCAGCTCGGGTGGCATGTCCTTAGGCTTGGGACAAAGGAAACACAAGACAGCCATTAACCATCCCTCCCCGAGGGGAAGAGCTCCAGCAAAGTCCTTGCTTTCTGAGAGTTGACCTGGGGCTTCTCCAGAAGCCGTAATAAACATTAGGACAAAACAAATACTGTTAAAACATTAGGAACTTGCAGCTCTGAATGACACCAAAGGCAGTGCTAACCAAAGCTTTCATTCCTTCAGGCATTACTTCTCCAACAGCCACAGGTTCCTTCTCCACTTCTTCCTCTTCATTCTCCTGTCCAGAGTCAGAGGGAACCAGCAGAGGTTCTGGTGCCGCTGTTGTGTCCTGGGGGCAGTCAGTAGAGTCAGGGACAGTCACCATTCTGTCCCTTGCAAGGTTGGATAGTTTCACACCACCTTAATCTGCTTACACATTAGAAACCAGCCTAGACATGCACTTGGTCCTACGGGCCTCAGTTCTACAGTGTGCATGTCCCAGGCCAATTTAACTCTCTATCAAATACAGGGAGTTGAAGCCCCTCCACAGTCCCAGATGCCTCTCAGTGGCAGAACATTACATTGCATTGTCCCAAATTTGCTCTCTTTACCAACTAGTTAGACAGTGCTGCATATTGCTCTGACTTAGATATCCCACCATGGCTAAAAGCAGCAAACAATCTTCTGCCTGCAAACCCAGACCTTCCTCTGTTTAAAAGCTCTTGAACAGAAATGAGAAAACAGCCAGGGATCCCTTGGCTGCTTCTGCTGCTGCTGCAAAGGCACTGAAGTGGACTTTCTTTCATGGACTTGCTTTCAGCCTCTCAGGCTGGCATTCTGTTGTAGCAGGCCAAGCTCCCAGCTCTCTCCATGATTCTTAAAAACTAGGAACATCAAAGCTTCCTTTTCCACTCACAGAAGGACGGGCTGCTCTGTGTCCACCTCCATATCCATTGGTGATTCTGTCTGCAATGGGCAAGGGAAAATGAACCAGATGCTGTCAGAAAACTGCTCTTGTGGGGAATCTCATCACACAAGGTAACCCAAATAAAGAGCATTTTTCTTTCACAACATCTCTCCAGGAGCAACAGTTCTTTTGCACGTCAAGCAAGAGAAGAGGACAAAACAACACATTCATCTTCTTCTACAGTTTCATGTCTATTTTTTATGCTGTTTTCCCAGGAAATAAAACAAATAGAAACTCCATCAAGCAAATGTAAATTGTTCATTCACGGTCAGTGCTTCTGTTCTGTCCAAGAGCTAAAGCAGCTTTAGCTGAAGAGCTAAAGAAGTTTCCTCTTCTTTTTTTTTTTCTTTTTCTGTTCTGTTGGTTTTTGGTTTTTCTTTTAATAAATGGTAAGCATCAGTTCTCTGTAGCTTGCTGAAAATGGTTCCCCAGAAAAACTGTCCAAAAAATCCCCTCTAGCCATTCTGACATAGCACACGAACAGCTCCTGGGTTCAGGAGCCTGCACTGTTTGGAAGTTGGCATTTTATCTCAAAGGTCATTGGTGTGATCAAATCCTTTAATTATGGAATTTAGCAAAAAGGATGCTTTCCCCTCATTTCTGGAGATAACTGAACAGTTTTCTGAAAAACTTCTGAGAAACTCTCCCAAATCTGCATTTTGGAAGTCGTACTGGTTGAACCAGGAAAGTGAGGAAATTACAGACTCCACAGGCTGATTGAGGCTTAGCTTGTTTTCCTGGTGATTCTTTGAATGGATACAGAAACCAGGGTGTCAGAAAACAGGCTGAGAGGGTCAAAGATATGGATGAATTCCTGGACATCTTATGAGGGAGGGTGGCATTTGAAAACTGATCCACCCGCTGAAAGCCCCGGCTCTACACTGAAACTATATTGAGGACAAGTCGTTTTAAATTTTTCTGTGGGAAAGGAATCTCACTTGTACAGGCTGACTGTCAAGAAAGGGGACAACATGGTGCTGCAAACACTCATGGATCACCAGGCTATTGTAGGATGGTTTCCTTTCAACTACCATCTCTGGGAGTTGGCTACTAGCGTCTGTCCTCGGTGCTTTAAAACAGCAGGTATCTAGTGCTTGGGAGTAGGAGCTGCCACATGCACTATGAACACATAGAACACTATGATTCTGCATTCAAGGCCCGACTCTTGACTTGTTTGGTCAGGACTTGACCCTTGATATTTTGACTCTCGGAGGTAGATGCTCCCAGGAGTGCTGGAAACAATAGAACTTTTTAAATAGTTTTAGTTATTGGTTTGAATTAACCTTTTTGTGATAACTAAGAGGCTATAAATTTGGGTTGCAAGGAATGACGAATTTATTAATGCCAAAAACAAGCAAAAACGGCTAGCCGGGTGACACAAGGAAACCCCTGTTCCTGCTGCAGTCCGCAAAGGGGAACAGAAACAGCACTTGTTATACCCTTCTTTGCTCCCTCCCCTAATGTCAAGTCCATTGGCTGTGGTTTCGAGGGCTGAATCCTGCTTGGTTCCCCCTTCGCAGGCTCTCTCCAGGTTGGTTCCTCCTTTCGTGGGCTATCTCCGTTGCTGAGGGGAATTCACCAGTGATGTGAAAGTCCATAATTTCTATAGGCTGTGATGCTGGAAATTTCCATCGGGATGACGGTTGGTCAGCCTGATTCCTCGTGGTCGACCCCCTCCTGTTTGTCTCCATATTGCTCCCTATTAATATACTCAGTACAAACACTTTCAAAACAGCAAGAGATAATATGGCAAATCATCGTTGTGTTAGTTAGTCCACAGATTACTAATCTTACAGTTAGTCCATCGTTGTTAGTCCACAGCTTACTAATCTTGTGGTCAGGCATTGCATAACACTCAAACTTGTGATTCTAACAAAACATTTAACACAGTTTAATAACTTTATAAACTCCTTCAATTTGGATCAGCAAATTTACTCTGTAATCACTTATAACACTTTTAATTGGTTGTTTTAACCAATTGTAACTGGTGTGTTAGGCCTAAAATCACTTCTAGCCAGCCTTCAGCAGAATTTAACATAAGCTGCCATTGTGAGAACACAACTTGGGAAGAGTACTACAACTCCAAGTTTTGTTACGCTAACCTCAATGTACTTCAGTGAACAAAGCCTAGGAGAGAAAGATGTACTGTTGAAGTTGCACATCTGGAATACAGAATTTATGGACCACAAGGACATTTTACAGAAGCCAGAGGATAAAGAAGGCGCTAACAAAGACTTGGTCGATGTGTTGGAAAGCCTCGTGGGACCTGCACGGCCACCCCAGCCGCGGCACTCACGGTCCCCGGACTCAAGCCGTGCGCCACGAGCAGAACCGCGGCCAGTGCCGCCAGCCCCGCTCCCCACCAGCGCAGAATTCGCCGATCCGCCGCCCAGCCTCTCACTGCCCCCGACAGCCCCGGCTCTTTGCTCCGGCTGGGTCACCTCCTCTCCGCCTCCTCTCCCTCCTCTGCCTTCTTCTCCCTCCCCTGCGCTCATCTGCCAACTCCACCCCGGCACTGTGCCCGGCACCTCTCGTGCTCTCGTCAGGTGCGGGCTGGATGCAGAGGGCAGGCGACAGCAGCGGCAGTCGAGAGCACGAGAGGTAGAACATCCCTCCGGGCTCGGCAGCCCGGTTCAACCTCTCCTGGCCTGTCCCGGGAAGCGTCCCTGCTGGCAGCAGGAGCACTTCTGCTGGCGACGAAGACTGCTTGGGCTTTTCTCAGGGGCTGTGGCACCACCGCTATGGCGAGGCAGTGCATGGGAGAAGCATCTTCCCCAGAGAAAGCTCGGACGTGGAACGGCATCTCCAAGTTGCTTTGGACTTCATGGAGATGCAAGTCTGCGTCAGTGAACACTGCTGTGAACCTCCTCCTTCTCCTCTTAATCAGAGGACCAGGGAACGGGCTGTCGCACCCGAACTAGATGTACTGGAACTAACACATCTGCAGTAGGATGAGGGGAATAGTGCCAGGGTGAAACTGTCTGAGGAGGGCAGGGGAGGGAGAGGAAGGCAGAGGAGGGAGAGGAGGCGGAAAGGAGGTGACCCGGCCGGAGCAGAGAGCCTGGGCTGTCGGGGGCAGCGAGAGGCCGGGAGGCGGATCGGTGAATTCGGTGCTGGTGGGGAGTGGGACTGGCAGCACTGGCCGCGGTTCTGCTCGGTGCGCACGGCTGGTGGCCAGGGACCGTGAGTGCCGCGGCTGGGGTGACCGTGCAGGTCCCTCGAGACTGCCATCGTACCTGGCAGATTCTTCAGAGGGCTCAGTCTCCGAACTATCCTCCCGCCCGTCCCTCCCTCTGCTCCCTAAAGCATTCCCTTGGAACACTCACCGCTCTTATTTTTGTCAAGCCTTTCTTTTTCCCTTGCTTTACTCTCTGTCCTTCAGAGAACTCCTGCAGTCCGTATTTCCCCTTTCCTACTTTATTTTCTCTCTTGATTTACTTAGTGCTGCAGCTTTCCGTTCTTCAGTGACTCCACCAATCCACCTCTTTCCCGCACTCCACTCTCCAGCAAACTCTAATAGATCACACGCTTCCCTGCTGGTCCTTCATGTCCTTCTATGGAGCTGACAGCGATGGGAAAGAGAATGGACCTTTTACCTGTGCCTCTGAGTGCCCCTCAAGCTGCTGCAGATGGGCGTGCTCCAACACATCCAGTTTAGGTGTGACAACCTGTTTCCCTGTCCTCTGAGCAAGAGGAGCAGGAGGAGGGACACAGCAGAGCTCTCCTCAGGGAGGCTGCATCCTCATATAGTCTAAAGCAGGTGCCACGTCCGAAATTTCTCTGGGGAAGGTGCTTCTCCCATGCACTGCCTCGCCGTAGCACTGGTGCCACAGCCCCTGAGAAAAGCCCAAGTGCTCTTTGTTACCAGCAGAAGTGCTCCTGCTACCAGCAGGGATGCTTCCCGGGACAGGCCAGGAGAGGTTGAACCGGGCTGCCGAGCCCGGAGGGATGTTCTGCCTCTCGTGCCCTCGACCGCCCCGCCGCCGCCGCTGTCGCCTGCCCTCTGCATCCAGTCCGCACCCGACGAGAGCAAGAGAGGCGCCGGGCACAGTGCCAGGGAGGAGTTGGCAGATGAGCGCAGGGGAGGGGGAAGAAGGCAGAGGAGGGAGAGGAGGAGGAGAGGAGGCGGCCCGGCCGGAGCAGAGAACAGGGGCTGTCGGGGGCAGCGAGAGGCCGGGCGGCGGATCGGCGAATTCGGTGCTGGTGGAGAGAGGGGCTGGTGACGCTGACCGGGGTTCTGCTCGTGGCGCACGGTTGGCGGCCGGGGACCGTGGGGACAGCGGCGGGGGTGGTCGTGCAGGTCCCTCGAGCCTGCCGTCCTGCCTGGCAGGTTCTTCACAGAGCTCAGTCTCCGAGCTATCCTCCCGTCCTTCCCTCCCTCTGCTCCCTAAAGCATTCCCTCGGAACACTCACCGGTCTTTTCATTGTCGAGCCGTTCCTCTTTCCTTGCTTTACTCTCTGTCCTTCAGAGAACTCGTGCAGTCCGTACTCTGTGTAGTAGTTAATCGCCCTTTTTTCATAGGGGAGCTATGCTCCGCTCAAGAATCAATAAACCAAGTTTTGTATTTCTAAGAAAATCCCCCGGAAGCTGCAAAGACGACAGTGTCAATGAATCCGTGTCCGCCAGGGCGCAGGAACAAAGCACCTCGTCCCCAGCATGGGGCCCGCAGAGCCAGAGGAAGCTCCAATGACCATCTCCCTACCACGAGAGCCGCCCCGCTGGCGCCGGCAGCTCTCTGGACCCTTTAGCAGCGCGTGTGAGGAGTTCGGGGCTGTGGCCCGGGAGCTGCCGGTAGAAAGGGATAAAATTGCCGAGTCGTGTTTTGGCGTTTTAGCACTTGATGGTGATTTCACTGACCTCCGTTTTCTCTACCAACGTTGCCCTGCTGCACGTGGGCTCTACCTGCAGACACTGGAGGGGAGATAAAGAGGAAAAGCCGTAAGAATTGCCTTTTGCACTGGAGGTTGTTTCCCAGGACAAAGGGCACAGAAAGAGTCAGGACCACACGGAGAAGACTTTTAAGAGAATGTCAAGGGGTGCAGTAGTGGAAGTGTCCATTAGAATTTGCTGGAGAGAGGAGTGTGGGAAAGAGGTGGATTGGTGACGTCATTGAAGAACGGAAAGCTTCGGGACTAAGCAACGCAAGAGAGAAAAGAAAGTAGGAAAAGGGAAGGACGGACTGCAGGAGTTCTCTGAAGGACAGAGAGTACAGCAAGGAAACAGGAACGACTCGACAAAGAAAAGACCCGTGTGTGTTAAGAGGGAATGCTTTAGAGAGCAGAGGGAGGGACGGACAGGAGGATAGTTCGGAGACTGAGTTCTGTGAAGAACATGCCGCCAGGATGGCAGCCTCGAGGGACCTGCACGGCCCTCGTAGCATCTCTGATTGATCTCCCTGACCTCTAACCCCTAAACTAAATGTTCTAGGACCAGCTAAGGCTTGTTTTAGGACTTCCCATTTGCTTAAACAATGTTTAATTGACTTTCTTGTTAACAGAACGATCACTTATTAAACAAATTTTCTTAGTCATGTATTAAACAAATTTTCTGAGGTCACCCCAGCCGCTGCCCCGGCCCCCGCTGTCCCCGACCGCCAGCCCTGTGCACTGAGCAGAACAGCGGCCAGGGCCGCCATCCCCGCTCCACGTCAGGGTCGCAACCGTCGATCCACTGCCCGTCGTCTCGCTGCCCCCGCCAGCCCCGGCTCTCTGTTCCGGGCGGGGCGCCTCCTCTCCTCCTCCTCTGCCTTCCTTTCCCTCCCTTCACCGCGGGTGGCAGGGGTTTGCGTTTGTATCGGGGAGCTCAAGATTGACAGGCCATGAGCTCCTTTCACTGCCACCGTCTCTTCCTTCACATCCCTCCTCTGTTGGCAAGTGGAGATTCCTGAATTGTCCTCCAGGTCACACGCTTGTGAGAATGATCGAGGGGCATGAGAGGCAGAACATCTGAAAGGGCTCAGTGCCCCGGGCTCAGCCTCTCCTGACCTGTCCCGGGGAGCATCCCTGCTGGGAGCAGGAGTACTTCTGCTGGGGATAAAGACCACTTGGGGTTTTGTCAGGGGCTGTGGCACCAGTGCTACGGCGAGGCAGTGCATGGGAGAAGCACCTTCCCCAGAGAAAGCTCGGAAGTGGCATGGCATCTCCTAGCCGCTTTGGACTTAATGGAGATGCAGTCTCAGTAAGCAAGCTCTGCTGTGTCCCTCCTACTGCTCCTGTTGCTCAGATGACCAGGGAACAGCCTGTCACACCTGAACTGGATGTGCTGGAACCAGCACATCTGCAGCACGTTGAGGGGCACTCAGAGGCACAGCAAAAAGTTTCATCCACTTTCCCATCTCTGTCACCTCCATAGGAGGACATGAAGGACCACCAGGGCAGGGTGTGATCTATTGCCATATGCACTGGAAAACCCAGGTCAACTCCCCAGGGCATGCATCCCAGACCTGCCAACCACTCTTGGTTGGCACTCACAATAGAACCATTACTTCGAGCACCTGCTTCTCACCCAACCCACAGAGATTCTTTACCTTCCTTGGAGAGACCAGAAGGGCTAAACAGGGTGTCTCTGTTTGCATTGAACAGACAAGTCTTGAGCACACACATGGTGTTGTTGTGGGGAGATGACATCGACCTCCTGGGAGGACCTTGAAGTTACGTGGGACAAAGAGTGTCTCGGTGTTACTTTGCATTTACAGTACTAAACCCTGGCAAAGCTCCTGCATGCAGCTCTGGGATGTCCTTCTGTGGACAGAGCTCCCAGTGTCCATCCCTCAGGCTGTGGGGCATCTCAGATAGTGGCAGAGCAGGTGGCAACCCACAAGGGCTGAGGTACATCTAGGCTCCAGGTGTGGCAGCAGGACCCCCAGGACCCCTGCTGCCATGAACTGTCTGTATCTGTGTGCAAGGGAAGAACTCGTGTGTCTGAAAACCCTTGTGTGACCAAGCAGTGAGCCCCCGCCAGGACACCACTGACTCTTGGCCAACTGACCATCCACCAGGACCCCAGAGGCCATTTTCCAGCACTGCTGTGCAGTATGTCATTCCCAGTCTATCCGTACATCCGGGGTTGCCCCATCCCAGGGACAGAATCCGGCACATCCCCTTATTGAATTCCTGTGGTTGATGATTGCCCAAACCTCTGATTTGAGGTCTCTCTGCAGGGCCTCCCTCTTCCATGAGACCCTAGAGTGTCACAATGGTCCCTTGATTCCATGGGAATCTGCAGTGTTCCGTGTTCCATGTGTTCCATGAGGCCCCATATTGTCACAATGGCACTGAAATGAGAGAGGATCTCCTTTCTAAACGACTTTTATCTAAGAAAAAACTTCTGATTTACAAAGTCCTAATCAACAAAGGAATTTGCTTTCTTGGTGTGGTAGTGGTCTTTTCTTTTAAGACTACAATTATTTTTGGGAGAGAGAATGTAGATGATACGTGGAAAATACTAGAGAGTGTATCATATGCCCATCTTCATGAAATTAGCTTACATTTCTCAGAAAACTTGTTTAAAAAGAAATTGTTCTGTTAAGAAGAAAGTCAATTATACATTGTTTAAGTAAATGGGAAGTTCTAAGACACATGTCTTAGTTGGTCCTAGAACATTTAGTTTAGGAGTTAGAGGTCGGAGAGATCAATCAGAGATGCTACGAGGCCTGCTAAGCGAGACCACTCTGCAAAAATGATTGCCCCTCCCAGAAGAAATGGACACTAGATGGCAGTCTTGCTCCACGAATACAATCCCAGATGATATTTGACCCCTAAATCATAACAGAATTCTGGACTGCTTGTGAAGGGGGGGGGGATCTTTCAAGTACCACTGTATTTATATTCCGAAATTTATACTGATTCTTTGATTCATGCATGGCAGAGTACCCCCATGAATCCCCAGCTGGCATATTAAAGAAAGGTTTGAACCAATGGTTTCTGGTCATTGGGTTTAATTCTTTTGTTTTATCCCTTTGATTCCATGAAGTTCCAAAGATATCCCAGGGTTTGTTTAATTCCATGAGGTCCCGCACGTCCCAATGACGTCTCTTAATTCCCTGGTTTCTGTAGTTTCCCAGGGAACATTTGCTTCCATGATGCAGGGCAGGGTAACAATGGCAGCTTGATTCCGTGAGTTCCCCCAGTGTCCCAGCAGTCCTTTGGTGCCATGAGACTCTGCAGTGTTGCAGTGGGTTGACCTTGCCTGGATGCCAGGTGCCCACCAAGCCACTCTATCCCTGCCCTTCCCAGCCAGACAGGAGAGACAGAAAAAGATGGAAAATGACTTCTACCTTGAGATCAGGCACTTTACTAAAGCAAAAGACAAAGTTTGTGCATGCATAAGTTAAGAGGAAAATTAAGAAATTTATTCTCTACTTCCCGTCAGCAGCCATGCCTGACCACTTCACGGGAAGCAGGGCTTCACCACACAGAGAGGACACTCAGAAGGCAAATATTGCAAAAAAGTGGATTTCCCCCCTTTCCTGTTCCTTTCCTGAGCTTTTGTAGCTGAGCTGATGCCATATATTCTGCAATGTCCCTTTGGTCCATTTGGCTCAACTGGCCTGTCTGTATCCCCTCCCATGATCTTGCCCCTGATTCAAGGGAGGAAGCTGACAATGCGGATGCTGTGCCAGTCCTGCTCAGCAGTTCCCAAAGCACTGGTGTGATTAACCCCTTTGTAGCTCCCAATGCAAAGCATAGCACTGTGACGGCTGCAGTAAGAAAATGAACTCCAGCTCAGACAGACCCAACACACGTGGGATTCTGAAATGTCTCAGGGTTTGTTTGGTTCCATGATGCCCCCCGTGTCACCGCGACACAGCTGTCAGACCTGGTAGTAGAAAAATGAATCAAAAAATTCAGAAGAAATCATCTTAAAGTCATGCTAAACCTGTCTTCTACAGTCCACAATCTACACATGTATGACTGCAGATACTTGGGATGAGGGTAGATGCTCAGAGGAATTCATGGGCTTTGGTCTAGGAAATCTGTCCCCAAAGTTTTCACTGCCTTTTCCTCCTTGGACACTTTCTGAGGCCTGGAAGAAGCTTACGTCCAACAGCAGCTCCATCTCTCACTTCCTCCTCCTGGCATGCCAGGGCTGCAGTTCTTGCACTTCTGCTTCTTCCTGGGCATCTCCCTGGTTGCCCTCCTGGGCAACGGCCTCATCCTAAGCGCCATAGCCTGCCACCACCACCTGCACACCCCCAGGGACTTCTTCCTGCTCCACCTCTCCCTCACGCACCTGGACTGCATCTGCACCACTGTCCCCAAAGCCATGGCCAATTCCCTCTGGAACACCAGGGGCATCTCCTACTCAGGATGAGCTGCACAGGTGTTTTTTGCTTTTCTTCTTGATCCCAGCGCAGGTTGCCCTTCTCACCATCATGTCCTATGACCGCTACGTGGTCATCTGCAAAGTCCTGCACTACAGGACCCTCCTGGGCAGCAGAGCTTGTGCCCACATGGCAGCAACTGCCTGGGCCACTGGGAAGAGGGTCTGACCCTGGGGCTGCAGGAGCTGCTGCCTGAGCTGATGATCTGAGCAGTCCAGACACGCAGTTGCTGTCCCTGTCCTCTATTTCCTCCCTTTCTTGCTGCAGGAGCAGAAACAACTGTACTGCTCTGCTGGGCTGGGGCAGGGTAGGGAGCTGGGGGGACGGGGAGGGGCTGGACTGGGCAGTTCCAGGGAGTAGAAAACCATCTGAAGTGGAGGAGTGGGCAGGGTGGGAGCACTACAGGGCTGAGGTGGCTCCAGACTCTGGGAGTGGCAGCAGGAGCCCAGGGAGACACTGCCCCTGCTGCAATGAACTGCCTGTGTGTGTGCGAGGGAAGGACTCGTGTCTCGGAACACCCCTGTGGGTGTGAGCAGTGCATCAGTCCAGCTCAGGGGTGGACAACTCTCAGAGCCCTGACACATTTCTGGGTGTGACTCCAGGAAACCCCCACTGTGCCAGGGAGTTATTAGATCCTTTGTTGTCACCCTCCTGGTGTCCTGTGTAACGATGAAACTAGAAAAGGCGATCATCATACCCTGTTAATTTTTTAAGAGGAGAAATGTCACTGCTGGAAAGAAGTGTCACTGAAGAGGTGAGGAGAGGGAACATCATTGTTTCCTTCAGCCTGTTCCACAGCAGGTTCCCCTGGAGCCCCAGGGACACCTGCGGGGAACCCAGAGGGGCAGAGAAAGGGCTGCCTTTGGCTCTTGCTGTGCTGCTCAGCTGGGCCAGGCTCCTGGCACACAGGGAGCTCCTGGCAAGCGGGCAGCACTGCAGAGAGACAGCTCTGCCCAGGAGCAGCTCCTCTGCACAGCCCAGCAGGGCCAAGGGCACTGCCTGGAGCCACGAGAGAAGTAAGGCAGAGGGAGGTTAAAGGCAGTGGAAAGATGGGAGGTGTTCAGCTGAGACTTCTCTTGGGGACACAACTTCACGCTCCTCTGCAGAATAAGTCTACAGGTGCAGGGCACTGTTGCTTGTGTTCCTGGAGGAATCTCCTAAAGCTACCACGTCCCACAGCCTTGCACATCTGTCAGGACTCTCCCAGTTTCTCTGTTGCACAGGAGGAGGATGTTCTCCAGGGTAGGCCTTCCCTGCAGCACCGTCAGAGGGACAGCGCAGGTGGGTTCCTTCTGCCAGGGATGGCTGCGGGGTGGGAAGGTGGGGGTGCAGCCAGGGGTGCCCGAGGCTGTCCTGCAGAGCAGGGTCCCTGTGCTCCGGGGTTCTTCGTACTAGGGCAGGGACTTTGCTGCCTGCTGGGGTCAGGTCTCATCCTGCCTGGGTAGTTGCCCACACCTCTGCAGGGAGAAGCTGTCGGTGGGTGGCGAGAACCCCAGCAGGAGTCAGGTAGGGTCTTCCTGCCATTGGATGAGTGCTGTGTGAGGTCAGGGCTGCTCCCAAATCCAGATCACACCAGCACATTTCCAAGAGCACTGTCAAATGGACAAAGGACAAAGCACAATTATTAGGAAGGAAAGGAGCTTTTCTGAGACAGTGTTTTCATTTTCCTACTCCTGAGGAATCTGGGGGTTGAGAAACGGAAAAGGAGCTCCCATGTTGGACAAGTCACTGAGACTCCTGAGCTGTACCTTGGAATGCACAGTGCTTCTGCAAGCAACTTCCTAAAGTGCTTTCGGCCTCTGCTCTGCTTTTGACAGAAGCAGCATCACTTCTGCTGGACCCATCTGTTTTTTCTTTATCTGCCCTTTTCCACCTGCAAAATGAAAAGTTACCCAGTCAGTGCCCTGCAAACAGGCAGGTTTCTCTCAGGCCAAAGGGAGTGCACAGACATTCGGATGGAGTGCTGACAGGGAAGTCATGAATGGATTTCTGATGTTGAGTCTACTGTTTTGAAATCAGAAAATGTGCTGTTGAAGTCATCGTTAGCCTTTGAGAGGGAAACAGGAGAAAAATCGGATAAACTTGTTGCTAAAAATGAGCTGCTTCAAACTGAGGTTGACCACCTTCAAAGTCTTGTTAAAATTTGGATGATTCTGAAACAGTCAGCTCACTGATTACCCCCATCAATACTAGACAATGCCCGCAGTATAAAGGCATAAACCCATCCCAACCCCTCCAGGAGCCCTCAAATCCCATCCTGGTCCCACAGGACACTCCCAACTTCCCCTCAAACCCTCCAAGGCCCCCCGACTGCCTCCCAGACCCACAAAAGCCCACCAGATGCCCCCAAACACCTCCCAGTTACCTCCAGCCCTCCCAGGACCCCTCAAACCCTCTCCTAGCTGCCCCCTTCCCCTCGAGGATGCCCCCAAACTCTCTCCCAGTCCCTTCCCACATCCCCAACGATCCCCCAAAACCCCTCACAGTCGCCCCAATCTCCCCAACCTCCCTCCCACCCCCCCAAGCTCCCCCAAACCCCTTCCCACTTACCTCCACGACCCCCAACCCCTTCTCAGTCTCCTCATTTCTCCCCAAACCCCCTCCCAGTTGCTGGCCCGTCCCCCAGGCTCGGGTGAGGAGGTACCCCAGGTTGACGGGCCCACCCTGTCAGGGGGCGGTTCCAGTAGCACGTCGGGAGCCACCTCGAGCCCCGAAAGCTCCCGCCCGCCCTGGAGCCACCTCAGCTACCCCTGCAGGAGAGAAATCCAAGCCAGAGCAGAGCAGGGGCCGGGGCCGGGCTGGGAGTGTGATAAACAAAGTCTTGAGTTTCTATAAGTTTTTGAATAATAGTTTATTATATGGTAAAAGCAAGCAACTGACTGGGTGACAGAAATGGGACCAGTTTCCCAAATCTACACACCCCTACTACAGGGTACATTTAGTATTTATCTCAGCTACTTCATGCATATTAATTATATCATATACATATACATTCTACAGGTTTTTGCTAAGTATTTAATATATGGGTTTTCTTAAACCAAAGCTAAAAGGGTTATCTCTACAACCAGTCATGCATCCTTGGACGAACAGGCGCCTAAAGATTTAAAGTTCTACTATATTTTATTCTTAGGATAGTAAGGAGGGTTTAGGCCTCTTGACCTTGTGAGGGTCTGTTCTATTTCTTTATGGGGGTGTAATTAAGTTTTACAATCCATTTGTTTTATTTTGATATAATCACCCATCTGTTTCACGAATCACAATTATTTATTTATCACAGGAGTTCGATGGACGAGGGCACTGGGAGAGGAGGGGAGAGACCGGGATGGGCTGAGGGGGCACTGGGAGAGAGAGGGGAAAGGTTTTTGCCCCTTTCCTGGGCAATGGAACACCCTCTGCACCCCCGTTCCCAGTCATGCCGGTTCTCCTTCCCCTACAAGCCACGAACAGGTTTTGGGGCTCCCTCGTGGGTCACAGCCAATAGAACGGCTCTGCTGGAATGACATCATTGGCAAATTCTGCTCGGCCCCTCTCCTGGTGCCGGTGAGTCATCCAATAGAATGTCGGTACTTCCGTGGGGGCTGCCGGGAGCGGGGTAGTGAGGCGGGGGAGGGGAGGATCGCGATTGAACCCGATTGGTCCCGATCGATCCCGCCCCCGGGGTCTCCCCCCGCCGCGATGGTATTCACGTGCGGCCCCAACGAGGCCATGGTGGTGTTGGGTGAGTTTGGGGGGTCTGGAGGCTCCTGGTGACCCCTCCGAATCTCCCCCAAGACTCTCGGGAACTGCCCAGATCCTCCCAAGACTCCTGGGGCCCCTCCAAAAGCCCCCGTCCAGGGGGCCACCCCTCCACCTTTCCCCCTCTCCCCCCAAATCTCCTGTGCATCCCCTTAACCCTCAAAAATCTCCTGGGACCACCTCAGACCCCTAGACTCCCTCCTGGGGACCCCCAAACCCTCTTCAGGACTCCTGGGCCCTTCCCAACCCCCTCCTAGAATCTTTTGGGTCTCTCCAACACTTTACGGCGGATTCCTCCATCCATTTCCCCCCTCGGACTGCTGGGGGTCAACCCCCCCTAAGAAACTACTGGGAACCCCCCCAGTGTACCACCACGAGATTCCTGGGTCCCTCCCCCCCAGCCCCCTGTGGGTGCCCCCATCCTTTCCCCCCCTTGAAAATACTCTTGGGGGTCTGTCAATGTCTCCCCCAGCCCCCATCCTGCACGGGGATGGATTTGGAGGGATCTCCTTCCCTTCCCTCTGGCCCAAAGGCAAATGCTCTCCCTGTCCTTCTTCCTTCACCCCCAGGCAGAAAAGAGAAGAGAAACAGCCAGTTGGCCCTGGCAGGTGTGGGTGTGTGCAGGCTGTGGTTGAGTGGTTGAGAAGGGTAAGGAGGGGGCTGGTGTTTGGGCAGAGTCCAGCAGGTGATGTCTTTCGTGTCTGGCAGTCATTGGTCGGCTCCACGACCATCCAGCTGTCAGTGTTCACGACATACTCATCAGCCCCTTCTCTTCTGGGCTCCTATACTTGCCAACCCTAAACTGCTCCTAAGTTCTCTTGCTGTCAGTTCATAAAGAGGTCTTGTCAAGTGTTACTGATCTAGAAACTAAATCCTGACATCTTTGTCTTTGCAAAAGATGTGTGTGAAAGGGCAATGCTGGTGCAAAGCAGTGTTGAACTTCACATTGGGTGACTT